TAATAGCACAAACTTCCATTTAACTAAACTAAATCATTTAAAACAGTGAGATGAAAATTGGGGTGACTTGTATTTCTGACGTGTGTCTACGTTTTCCTACCTAGAATTTAAAGACTTGCTTGTTAGATGAAAATTATTAATTTAATGTAAATTTTTGTTTGAGGTGTTGCATTAAAATTTTAAAACTTAAAGTTCAGGTTTCTGATTTTATCGTAACTCGATCTTGTACATATCTGCAGCATTCATTATTGATATTAGTGCCTTGTCAACTGCGTTCAGTAATGCTAATTACTCCTTGTAGCTCTACAGCTGAATTAAGGCATCTGGGAGTCATAACTTTCAACAACCTGATCTCTATGCATGCTTTGGGTTTACATACAAGCACATCGCACTTGGCTCTTAATATTTGCATAAGAATAATCATCAATCTCAGATTGCATATACAGTGGGTGAGATGTAAGTATCATTATGTTAAACCTAATCCCTTAAAAAATTGAACACATCTGAGACGTAGATTTTACTGAGTATTTGGTTATTCTATTTTAGAATAGTCAACCCGTATGCTTTGTTCTTAAAAATGTCCCTGCTAGCAACATTCACTTTCTCCCTTCTACTAAGATATAAAGATTTATAATTTACCCTCATGGAACCTGATTAGCTACAGCTAAGAAGGCCATTAACCCATCTTGGCATTAACTACACACCTCTTATTCTTGATGGGTAGATATTTGCTTTTAGGGGTTCAACGTCATGTTTCCCAGAGTATAATGAGATAAATGATTGAGTAAGCTGGATTTATAGATCACCAAGACAAAGTTATCAGTTTCTTAAATGTCAGACCTGGCTCTTGACTAATTTTTAAATGTTAATTATTGTATTACTCTATCAAGGAACTATGGGCCCCATTCTGGCATTGAGAAGGGATTAATTTGCTCTGTTTTGTAATTGAATTAGCTTTCAGGTCAGCAGGGTACTGCTTAGTAAATTGCTTTTTCCAGTATGAGCATGTTTTCTCCCTCAGTAGCCTCTGCTACTTTCTGAGTCTGTTACCTCTGGGGAAAGGCAGGAACACTAACCCATTTAATTTTTGTAGAGTCCATGCAAGACCATCATCTTCTAAATAATTACAAACACTTAATCAGATTATCTTTGTTAGTTGTGTACACAAATAAGATTATTTTCCACTTGGTAGATGTTGGTATTTTTTCATTTATAGTCAATGGCATTGGGAGCCATATCTGACTAGCTTCCCTATTGCCATGAGGCAGGGGTCAGATATGCCTCCTCCCTCCATCCTTCTTTTCCTATTGTAACATCAACCATTCCTCATCCACCACTCTATCTATGTTGGGTTGTATAATTCATTGCAATGGCCACACAGAACTCCCAAAGATGTTTGGGTATGAATAAGCCAAAACTAAATCAAACCCAATGCCATTGGGTCAATTTCAACTATATAGAAATCCCTTGCACAGGTAGGAAGATGATCTCATTATGAAGCCCTCAGGTTTCTAAAATATTGTCATTGACATGGCTTAAAGTCATATGATAAGGAAATGATGAAGGGTGCCCAAGCTCATTGTCACGTAGTCAATTTTGACTCAGAGTGACAGGGTCAGTTTCTGGTGCTGTAAAAATTTATGGGAGCAGAAAGCCTCATCTATCTCAGAGGAGGTGGTGGGATTGTGACTAGCAGCTCAATATGTAACTCTAATACACCACCAGGGCTTCATTGAGTCAGGGTAGGGGGTTTCTGTAAAACATATAAAACATACTCATTGCCAGTAAGTCAATTCCTGACTCTTACTGAGTATATGGGGTTTCCTAGGCTATAGATCTTACAGCCATCACTTGTCTGTCTGTTTGTCATACTGTGGTGGATTGTGTGTTCCTTTGATGCTAGAAGCTATGCCACCAGTATTTCAAATGGCAGCAGCGTCACCCAAAGTGAACAGGTTTGGACTGATCTTCCAAACTCAGAACAGAGCACAAAGAAGGAATTGGCTGTCCACTTCAGAGCAATTAGCCACTGAAGACCTTGTGAATTGTATCAAAATATTGTCAGATACTGAAGGCCTAATTAATAGAAGTATAACATTGTCAGAATTTAAGCCCTTAAGATCAGAAGGCACTCAAAATATGACTGAGGAAGAGCAGCCTTCTCAGATCATGATGTGGATGGGGTAAAACTTTTAGGAGTAAAGTCTTTGGGGGGACCTTCATTTGCTGATTGGGCTGGACTGAGAATGAGAACAACTGCAAAAAAACCAAACAAACCATACTCATAACATGGAATGCATGAAATATGAACCTAGGAAAACTGAAAGTCATCAAAAATGAAATGGAAGATTAATATGCTAGCTAAAATGAACTGGTGTTGGCCATTTTGAATCAGAAAATCATATGGTTTACTATGCCAGGCATGACACAATCAAGTGGAATGGAGTCACATTCACTGTTAACAAGAACACTTCAAAATTGAGCTAGAAGTATACTGCTGTTTGTGCTAGGATTAGATCTATCCATCTGCAAGAAAATTCAACCAATACCACTATTATTCCATTTGATGCACCAACCACTAAATCTAGTGATGGAAAAATGGAAGAATCCTACCAATTTCTTGAGTCTGCCATTGATCAAATGTGCAATCATGATGCATTGATAATGATTGGTGATTGGAATGCGAAAGTTGGAAACAAAGAGGAAGGAACAGTAGTTGGAAAATATGGTCTTGGTGATAGAAACAAAGCTGGAGCTGTATGATAGAATTTTATAAGACCAATGACTTGTTCATAGCAGCTATTTTCAACAATGCAAACAGTGATTATACACGTTGTCTTCTCCAGGTGGAATACACAGAAATAAAATTGACCACATCAGTGCGAAGAGAAGAGGGAGAAGCTCAATATAAGCAGCTAAAATAAGATGAGAGGCTGACTATAGAACAGGCTATCAATTGCTCATATGTAAGTTCAGGTTGAAGCTGAAGAAAATTAAAACAAATCCATAGAAACCAAAAGATGACCTCGAGTCTAACTCACCTGACTTTTGAGAACATCTCAAGACTAGATTTGGTGCATTGAACACTAATAACAGATGACGCGGTGAGTTGTAGGGAACAACAAGAACATCATTCATGAAGAAGCTGAGAGGGCACTAAAAAGACGGAAAATAAAGAAAAGACAGCATGGCTGTCAGAAGAAACTCTAAAACTTGATCATACAGTAGCTAAGACAAATAGAAGAAATGATTACATCACACAGCTGAACAGAAAATTTCAAAGGGTAGCTTGAGAAGAACAATATAAATGTTATAATGAAATGTACAAAGACCTAGAGTTAGAAAACCCAAAAGAAGAACATGTTCAGCATACCTTAAACTGAAATAACTCAAGAAAAAAATCAAGGCTTGAATTGAAATATTGAAAGAGTCTATGGGTGCAATATTGAATGACACAACATGAGAAGGTGGAAAGAATACACAGAGCCACTGTAGCAAAAATAACTAGTTGACATGTCACCATTTCAGGAGGTAGCATATGATCAATAACCAATGACATGGAAGAAAAGTACCATGAACTACCACCAAAAGAACAAACAACTATGTCTCGGAAGAAGTAGAGCTAGAATGCTTCTTAGAGGCAAGGATGGCAAAACTTCTGTTCAAATGTTTATCAGGAAAGATTAATCCCTGGAAGAGGACATCGCGCTCAGTAAAGTAGGGTGTCAGTGGGGGGAAAAAAGAAGTTCCTCCAGAAGATTGATTGACTCAGTGGCTGCAACAATGGGTTCAAGCTTAAGAACAATGGTGAGGGTGGCCCAGGACTGGGCGCCAATTTGTTCTGTTGTATATAGAGTTGTTATGAGTAGGGACAGGTCTTATGGTCATGGACAGCCTCACCTTTTGCTGAATATTGGTTGATGAGGTTGACCTTGAGGTTAGCAGGCCAATGCCTATGCACCAGGGCCACTAAGACCCTAGATAGGAAACCCTTGTGGTGCTATGGTTAAATGTTGGGCTGCTAATCAGGGCTTGGCAGTTCAAACCCGTCACAGTTTACAGGAGGAAGACGTGCCTGTCTACCCCTGTAAAGATGAATCGTATAGAAAACTCTTGGGGCAATTCTCATTGGTCCTATACATTGGTTACTGTTGGATGGGTGTGAATAGTAAGTAAAAATATGACAGCTACTTGTGAAACAGAAGAGAAATCTACATAAATGTGAGAAAAAGTTTTTGTGGACAGTACAAGGCTTAAGGATTTTTCTATATTTTACATGTAATTTGAACTGTTAAGGAACTCTTACTCATCCCTCCCGAAAGAACCCAGAGGGCACAGTGGGTTAAGTATTATGCTTCTAACCACAATGCTGAGGTTCAGATCCTCTAGCCATATGTAGGGGGAACATTTACGTTCTTGGAAACCTTAAGGAGCACTTCTATTCTTTCTTTGGGGTCACTATAAATTGGAATAAACTCTACCATAATGTTTTGTTTTGATTTACCCCTTCGCATTCCCCTATGATGTAACTTTAAGCCATGCCAGGGAAAAGTAGTAGGAAATCTGAGTGCTTAATAATGAGATAATGTTCCTTTCTGTACTTGGATTTTTCATTTCCTGGCTGAACTTTTTGAATATGGGCTAAAGAAAGAACACCTCCATTGTTCCAGCATTGAGAAAGATGCACCTTATATATTCATTCTTTGCTATGAATCAGAAATCGACCACCCTTCTAGATGGAATAATCAACTTTATAGTACATTGGAACAGATTTGTAGGAGAATAATTCATGTCTTCACCTTGTAAGATGTGGAGAGTGTGCACATCTACCGACTGAGTAGTCTTGTCGCCCCGTAGATCTCGGCCACCCCCAGGGATTCTTGCTCTCAGTTCCTTCATGTTCTTCCAACCACAAGTCCCACGATACCCCATGACACAATGGAATAGGTATGATGGGCAGCTGAGCAAGTTCTCCAATGATGCAGAGAGTGGCTAGGAAAAAACCCATCGGGTACCTCCCTCATTTCCAGAAAGCCACGGGGCTAAGCCAAAACAGTATTGGTACACTGTTTTCCATTTTGAGAAGTTATGCTTCTGGTCAGCCAGGGTGCATGAGACTGAGGAAAGATAGTCATTAGAAGCTCATATAAACTGTGAGCAACCCGGCCAATAAAAAATGCAATGCGTTCATCAGTATTAATTCTTAGCTTATAACCTAGGAGTGACTTAACTTGAGTCATTGGTATTTAATGTATGATAAATAATATATGATTTGGAACAGTAGAAAGATACTCTTTATGAAGCAGAGCTGATAACTTCTAGAGTAATGCTATTTATTTATTTTAAGAACTGTAATGTAATTTTAATTATTGATGAAATGTAATTATGAAATAGTTATGTAATTATTTACTTATAAATATACCACAGTGAGTTTTGTTCAGTTGATGGTATCTTAGTATAAGGAAACTTTTCTTTTCAATCCTTACATATTTATTCTTTGCCATGAATCAAAAATCGACCACTGGGATTTTTATGAGTATCATTTCATTTACATGATGGTGTGATGAGACTTATCAGGATGCTACTGACAGTTTAATATTTCTAAACATGTAGAACTATTAAAGAAATAGTCTTTCCTTCCTGTGTGAAGAAATGTTCAAAATGAAGGTAGTCAAAATCTAAAATAGTATTTTAAAATATAACAATGAAAAAATGTCATTGCCTTAACTCAAAATCCTCAGATTCTGCAATGCTTTTCTTTCAAATGATTGCCACCTCAATCTTTTCTACTCCATTGAGCCCATTTCTTGGGAGTGTCATTTTCATCACATCATATGTCAGGCCAGTCAAATTCTGGGAGAAAAACTACAAGTAAGCTCTTAACTCCATTCTACCTTCCTTCCGTCTCAGGTGTGCTTTCCCTGCTTTCCCTTCCTCAGCTCTGAGGTTCTGGTGTCACTGCAGCCAGCTGTGGAAAGCCTGCCGGCCCTCATGACGATGCTTGTGCCTATTGCCTTACTCAGTGCTGGGGCCCGAGGTCTCCGGTCCAAACAGGATGGTTTATAAAGGAACAATCAGACGTGAGGCTTCCATGTGTGCCAGTGTTGAACTGTGCTCCATACTGCTTTCAATGGATGTGACCTTTCTGAAGCAGCTAGCCAGACCATTCTTTAGTGGACTCACCCTCTAGCTTGCTAGTTAGCAGCTGAGCATAGTAATCACGTTCAGGACCCAGAGTATTATTTTTGACTCAATGGCAATGGGAGCTGTGCTGTCGAAGGCCAGTTCCCAGCTTTATAGATGCTATCAAGTACTTACCAGGCTTAAGCTTCGCGGGAAGTTCACAGCCAGAAGTGTCCTGAGTAAAACTACCCATGACAGAATGCCCCACTGGCGACCAATGGGGGGGGCGGGTACAAAGGGATAGGGACGCCTCCTACTCTTTTCAAATTTGTCATCTGTTAAGGGAGGTGATTTGGGGGGGGGGTGTCAAAGCAATCTTGCAATATACACAAAAACAATAGTACTCCTTTATGTTTGTCTAAAAATGTATATTTATAAAGCCAGAGAGTAAAAGAAAATTGTCAGCACCAGTTTGTCTTTCAGCTTTTTTTGGGAGAATACAATTTCAGAGACAGTTTTGGAACAATTAAGAGCCATGCCTCTCAAAAACAAACACACACATGCACACACACATGCACAAACAAACAAAAAAACATCTTTCCCCCATGACATAGCTGGTGGGGTCCAACCACCAACTTTTAATTTCACAGTTGAGGTCTTAGCCAATGTGTACACACACACACACACACACACAGCCAGAGCTCATTAACTCTAGAAGGTACAGAAGTTTGTAAATAAAAGGAGTGACACTCAAGATCTGAAGTGCACACTGGGGTTTGTGGACATACACTAAGGTATTCCACTTTTTACTAGGTCGCTTGTTACTAGGAGTCACTTTGGAGAAACAGTTTAGTATCTTGTTTAGTACCCAGTTTGCAGCAGGTCTGGTACCTCTGATAAGCCATCAGAATACAGAATCCCATTGTCTGAAGGATCAGTGGGCAGAAATGCAGGAAACTGAAGTCGTGGTAGTTACCAGAAAAGGAAATGTAAGAAATCCCATCAGGGTCTCTGGATCCCTGCAAATATTCTGGAAAGTTTAGTCAATCTATTTTAAGCTGTTGGTTTTTTGTTTTTGTTTTATTTCCAGAAGACAGTGGGTGGTGCAAATAAAGCGTCAACTACTAGCAGAAAGGTTGATGGTTCAAATTCACTGAGAGGTGCGTCCGAAGTCAGCCCTGGTGATCTGCAGCTGAAAGGTCACAGACTTGGAACACTTTTTTTACTCTGTACACAGGGGCTCACCATCAGTTAGACTAAGCTCCATAACAACTAACAACAACAGTTTTCTAGTTGTCTTGAAAGTTTACCTGGAGTCTTTCTTATTACTTTCTTATCAATCTGTTTCAAAGGAGTAACCAGGTGATATAGTTAGAGTTTATTGTGCCAACCTGGCCGATAAACACATGTGGGATTAATTAAAGGGCGCTGAGCTAAATGGCTCAGTGAGGCTTGCCTTTCTAGTTCTCGGGTCTCTTGCTTTGTGATGGTCAGACCAGGGTGCAGCTGCCTTAGCCAGTTCCCTGCTTCAGCTGGCAAAGGTCACCTCCTACAAGACATTCCCAAGGAGAAGCAGCATGGACCTACCGTGATGCAGCCCTGGGTGCTGGAGCAGCCGTGTGGAGACCCCTGCCAGTGCTGAGATGCGTACAGGTTCACTGATTTGGCTTTCCTCCTGTAGTCGGCATCATTGTGTGTGTTTTGTGAGATAGAGGAGGACTTTGTGGGTTGGTGTCAGTCATAGGGGTTAATGTTGGACTTGTGGGCTTGGGCACCACTGGGTTGGGATGTTTTCTTGATGTGCGCTCAACCTTTATATAAAACTCTCTCTTATACATGTGAGTTTCTGTGGACTTGTTTCTCTAAAGTACCCAGACTAACACACCAGGTTAGCTGAACTGATGGCATTTACTTTTTTTTACTAGTTGTCTAATCTTTTTAAAGACCTAGTAACAAGATACTGTCCTCAGAATATCTCACAAGCACATCTCACCCAATATGCTGCCAGAAGCCATTGGCAATCAAAGTAGCAAACTATGCCACTGTTTATCTGAAGTCCCCCACTCCCACCCCATCTCCACCCCCTGGCCTTCTCTTCCTTCCCCAGCTCTGCTTCTGCAGCTTTCAGCCCCATCATTTTTATTTTGGGTATTTTAATTTTACAGATGTCTTTAGTGTTTTCAGGTCTCTAGTGAACCCTGGTAGCGTGGTGGTTACATGTTGAGCTGCTCATCTGAAGAGCAACCTTTTGAAACCACCAGCTACTCTTCAGGAGACAGATGAGGCTTTCTACATCAGTAGAGTTTTTCTCTTGGAACTCCACTGAGGCAGTTCTACCAGTCCTATAGGATCACCATGAGTCAGAATAGACTCGATGGTACTGGGTCTGGAGTTTGATTTGAGTGAGCATTGTAACTAAACTATTTTAATACTCTCTAAAGCAAAAACCAAACCCTGCTATCAAGTTGTTTCTGACTCAGAGTGACCCTTTACGACAGGGTAGAGTAGCCCCTGTGGGTTTCGAAAACTGTAACTCTTAATGGGAGTAAAAGAAAAATCTCTTCTTTCTCCTGTGCAGTGGATGGTGGTTTCAAACAGCAGAACTTGCAGTTAGCAGCCCAACATGTAACCACTACGCCACTAGTGCTCCATATTTTAATTCTCAGGGGAAATAAAAAATAAATCACCACCTCTTGTATAACCACGGTGAGTTTGTTTTTTCTCCGATTGGCCTGTCTTGGAATCTCTAGGTTCTCTGTTACCTAACACTAAGCCTCATGGGGGTAGACCACAAACGTGTTCTCCTCACCTACCCTCTTCCTATAGCTTCTTCACAGGCCCAGCTTAATTAGCTCACCTAACTAGTTCTCAGAGGATCTCTCTCTCTCATTAGGAAGGTTCTCAACCTTCCTAATGCCGCTACCCTTTAAGATGGTTCCTCATGTTGTGATGACCCCCCAACCATAACATTATTTTTGTTACTTTATAACTGTAATTTTGCTACTGTTATGAATCGGGCAACCCCTGTGAAAGTTTGTGTGACCCCTTTGGGTCACACATCTCAACCCACAGGTTGAGAACCGCTATAGAGGGAGTCTTAAAAGCTTTCTGAGTGGTCTTTTAGTATGTGTTAGTTTTTACCTAGTCACAACATGGTGACCTTGCAGTTTCAGAAACAGTTCTCTAGAGAGAAAGTTGGGAATTGCATTGCTTTCTCTGATCTAGCCTCAGAAATTTTACAGCATCAATTTTGCCTCATTCTCTTGATTGAAAGCAAGTCACAGAGCTATCCAAATTCACAGGGAGAGAAATTAGACCCTACCTCTTGATGGGAATTTAAGGTTCAAAAAGGGCATGTAAATTGGGAAATATGACATCTGTGGAAAAGAACCTTTCTACTATGGCTGTAAGTAAATGCTACTCAGAATTGGCATAGACTATTAGCATCTTTAGTTCTGTACTCATTTATTCTTCAGCTTAGCATACTAATGAAGCCCTGCATTTAGTAGGTGTTCTCTATTTTATAAATGAATTAAATTCAACAATATTATTTCAGAATAAAATAAATACAATCTGGATTTGCTTTTACTACTATTAGATCGTTCTCTATTGGACTGATGTGTGCTTGGCTAATAAAGTCTTTTAAATCTGTCTTGATGAACTCAGCCTAGTAAATGTCTTCTTCTAAATTATGGACAACAATTGCAAAGGCACTATATGTAAGAGGATTTTAGAAAGCTTTAGAAACACATTCTGCTGTTATAATTTATTATTCTTTTCAATGTATGTAAGCCATCACCATATAACCAAACCTGGTCATTAACATAAGCAGACGTTTAGGCTACAAAGTGTTTGATTCATGCCACCAGTTATTTCAGCCAATGCATTGGTCCTAAAGGAGCTATCGTCAGCTCTTTCCCCCCCCCCCCAGCTCCTTAATAGAATATAAGCTCTCATTGGTAACTATTTGGTTTGCACATATAAGAAAATATGTAAAATAGAAAGTATTCCCAGAATAGGAAAATACACATAACAGCTAAAGAGAAATATAGGTTTCATGGTTGTACGTATCTACACAACCACCAGCAGTGGAGGAGAGTTCCTATCTTGCCACATCCCTTCCAACATTTATTGCTTTCTGATGTTCTGATTTGGGCTATCCTGAAGAGTGTTAGGTGGTATCTCATGGTTGTTTGAATTTGCATTTCTCTGATGGCTAATGATTGGGAGCACTTTCTCATATGTTTATTGGCCATTCGGGTCTCCTCGCTAGTGAAACTTCTGTTCAGGTCTTTGTCCACTTCCTTGGGGGGTTAACTGCTTTCTTCTTTTTTCAGGCTAGGATGGTTTTGTATATTTTAGTAATACGTCCTTGTCTGTTGTGTCATTGCTAAAAATCCTCTCCCAGTCTGTGGGTTCTCTTGATACTCTCTTGATGAAGTCTTTTGATGCACACAGGTGTCTTATCTTTCGTATATCCCACTTGTAGATTTCAGCTTCACCTGTGTGTGTACCCTTCTCTACTGCAGTTAGCTTATGTATTCCTTGTGCCAAGGTTCTTAGGTTTATCCCTATTCCTTTGTTGGTGGTCCTGATAGTTTGGGGGTTTACTTCAAGGTCTGTGATCTACCTTGAGTTTATTCTTGTGCTTGGGGTGAGGTAAGCCTCTTGTTTCATTTTTCTACATGTGGATATCCATTGTTTCCAGCACCACTTATTAAAGAGGGTATCCATCTCCCATTTGATGC